TGTATGTATGTATGTATGTATGTATGTATGTATGTATGTATGTATGTATGTATGATGTATGTATGTATGTATGTATGTATGTATGTATGTATGTATGTATGTATGTATGTATGTATGTATGTATGTATGTATGTATGTATGTATGTATGTATGTCTGTATGATGTATGTATGTAGTATGTATGTATGTATGGTATGTATGTATGTATGTATGTATGTATGTATGTATGTATGTATGTATGTATGTCTGTATGTATGTATGTATGTATGTATGTATGTATGTATGTATGTATGATGTATGTATGTATGTATGTAGGTATGTAATGTATGTGTATGTATGTATGTATGTATGTATGGTATGTATGTATGTATGTATGTATGTATGTATTGTATGTATGTATGTATGTATGTATGTATGTATGTATGTGTGTATGTATGTGCGTGTGTATGTATATATGTATTACTGCATGGAGTATGTGGGTGTGTATGTTGGTGTATCAGTGAGTGAGCGAATAGGTTGGCGTGTGTATGTAGGTGTGGTAGGTAATTGTACTCCATTAGGACATCAAGGACATCACACAAGCGATAAACACTCGGTGACAGAAAGGACCACTATGCAGATGAGGATCACCCGTGGAGAAACCCCTTTCAGCCGTTAAGCCATATTTATGGCCAGGCAATATTTAGAGCTCCCGGCAGAAGCCAGAGCAGGGCTTCAAATAACAAAAAATTACATCCTACGAGGGGGCGACTCATTGACGTATGTGGGTAGTAGTAGTAGTAGATTATTACCCCACCAGGACATAACAAGGGCGATAAACACCCGATGACACAAAGTGCCACCATGTCAATCGTTCATCTATTTATAATATCGTTTTCCTACAATGTTAGTTTATTTTTTAACTTTCCTTCAGTACAACTGTCCTCCTTTTGTAATTTCCCTTGAATACAACTTTTACCCTTTTATAATAATTTCACATTTATTCTTTTTGTAATATCCCATTATTACAACTTCCATCCTTTTGTAATTTCACTTAAATACAACTTTCACACTTTCGAAATTTCATCCCAATACACATTTCATCCTTTTTTGTAACTTTCATTCATTTGTAATTTCACTTAAGTACAAATGTTATCCTTTTGTAATTTATTTTCATTGCCACTTTTATCTTTTTGTAGTTTGAATGTAATTCAATTTTCGTCCTTTTAAAATTTCTTTTCAATACAACTTTCATCTCCTTGTAATATTTCTTTCATCCTTTTGGATTTTCACGTCAATACAACTGTCCCCCTTTCGTAATTTCACTTCAGTACAAATGTCATATTTTTGTAGTTTCACTTAAATACAACCGTCATCCTTTTGTAATTTCACGTTATTACAACTGTCATCCTTTTGTAATTTCACTTCAATATAACTTTTATCCATTTGTAATTTCCCTGCAGTGCAACTGCTATAATTTTGTAATTTCACTTAAATACAACTTTCAAACTGTCGAAATTTCACTTCAATACACATTTCATCATTTTAATAATATCACTTTAATACGAATTTCACCCTTTTGTAATTTCACTTCAGAACAAATGTCATCCTTTTTTTTAAATTTATTTTCATTGCAACTTTCAGTCTTTAGTAGCTTCACTCTAATACAACTTTCATCATTTTGTAGTTCCACTTTAATACAACTTTCATCCTTTTGTAATTTCACTTCAATACAACTTTCATCCTTGTGTAGTTTCACTCTAATACAACTTTCATCCTTTTGTAATTTCACTTCAATAAAACTTTCATCCTTTAATAATTTCAAAATCAATACAACTTTCATCCTTTTGTAGTTCCACACTAATACAACTTTCATCCTTTTGTAATTTCACTTCAATACAACTTTCATCCTTGTGTAGTTTCACTCTAATACAACTTTCATCCTTTTGTAATTTCACTTCAATAAAACTTTCATCCTTTAATAATTTCAAAATCAATACAACTTTCATCCTTTTGTAGTTCCACACTAATACAACTTTCATCCTTTTGTAATTTCACTTCAATACAACTTTCATCCTTTTGTAATTTCACTTCAGTACAACTTTCATCCTTTTGTAATATCACTTCAGTACAACTTTCATCCTTATGTAATTTCACTTCAGTACAACTTTCATCCTTTTGTAATTTCACTTCAGTACAACTTTCATCCTTATGTAATTTCACTTCAGTACAACTTTCATCCTTTTGTAATTTCACTTCAGTACAACTTTCATCCTTTTGTAATTTCACTTCAATACAACTTTCATCCTTTTGCTATTTGCCCTGTGAAATCGCACAGATCTGTCAGTGGAGACGGTGCTGGAGGTGTTCGGGGACTACTTCATCATGTTCACTCTACGGCATGGCTACGATGACATGCTCCGGACCCTGGGCAGTGACATGACCAGCTTCATCCAGAACCTGGACTCGCTGCACTCTCTCCTTGCTCTCAGCTACGACAAGATGGTGGCTCCTTCCTTCAGGTAAGCTTGTTGTACTCTTTCAGTCACAGGAGGTTCTCGCAGCAAGTGCCCAAGGGAATGAATACACACTGTGAAAAGTCTGAATGCATAATTGCCAAGCAGGCAAATTACGCAGCGGAAGTAGCCAATAGTGAAGCCAGATTTCTTTAGTGTGCTCTGACCAAAAATACTGGCTGGAAAAGTATATCACTTATCACATATTTATTGAGACGGAAAGTGTTAAGTAATCTGGTAATCTGGTAATCCTAGTTTCAGCTTTATAGCAAACGGGTCACCCCACATATGCTCAGCTCCTGTGCCAACGAAAAACAAACGCAGCTCACAGTGTCACGCCATGCACTCAACTCAGAAGCGGAAAGTGTTAAGTGTTCTTGTTCTTGTTTTTGTTTTTCTTCTTCTTCTTCTTGTTCTTCTACTTCTTCGCGTTCATCAGATGTAAACTCTGGCGGAAAGTTCATTCACTTTTGGACTGCGGTTTTGTTCTAGAACCTGAGTATTGCGTGTGCATCCGTTTTACAGATCTGACTCATTTTGTGGCAGACTGCTGGTTCCTTGCCTCTCAGGCGGATACATTCCGACTTCGAAAAAGCTCCCAAATAGTCGACTCTTACGACAAGCTTTCTGTGGGCAGTAGGTCTATTCTTTTTCCCCTCAAATAGTGCTCCGGAACCCACACGGGGATTAAGTGTTTACATTCATCGAATGTCTTCTCGGCAGCAGAATCCTCTCCCCTGGTTTTAGATATTTAACAGCATTATACATGTGTATCTTCAGATACATATGTTCGCCCACCGGCCCGAGAGTTTTGAGTTTGAACCCGTATAGTACTTTTTGTTTAAGAAAGCAGACATTGTTTCTCAGCCTAAAAGAGTATCAGGACATGACGTGGAAAGAAACGGCCGCAGTCGTAATGTTTACCATAACACCGTCCAGTGTTGATTTAGTCGATACAAATGTGAGTCTACCATTATGTGTCCGATGCTCCACTGGGATGGACAGGTTCCTCTACCTTTACTTACTTTAGAGAACCACCCACCGCATGCCAGTTGGTCTATAAAGTTTAATGTTTAACCCTAAAGTTCAATGTTTAGCCCTGAAGTTTAATGTTTAGCCCTAAAGTTTTATGTTCAGACCTACTTGTCCAATACACCCGAAGGCTTGAAAACGGCGCGGTCCTTTTTTTTCCCAGCTTTGTAGAAAGACTCTCTAATTTCAGTCTTACAAACGAAGTCTCCATCCCTCATCAGTTTTTCCTGTCTCATTCATTTTTCCTGTTCATGGCTTTTTGAATGCTATGTGTCCATGTGTCCATTTAACGTGGACTGGTCGACCCCTGCCTCTTCTTTTACTGCGGATACAGAGTTTGTACACTGTGCAGCTAGCCTCTCTGTATTGAGAAACCGTTCAAATGGGATAAACCCCAACCCAATTATGTCGATTATCTCGGCGGTAAAAATTCTAAAACCGCCTTTATTTGAAGAATTAATCCTGTTTACACAATTTCTGAACTATCTAAACACGACAACTGTTTTCATTAGTTTTAGCAAAACATTTTAGAACTATTAAAGGTGGTCTGAAAAGACGTTATGTAAGGAATGGTTGCGAAATAGCTCGGTGTTTTACGACATACGCCTGGCCAGATTGGTATGGACTTAATTCTGGAACACACTTGGAGGACACAATGGCACGATAATAATGAATGCGTGTTGTCCATCAAGATGATGATGACTACTCTGTTTCATCAAGTATGAGTACGAAGATGACTGATGAGGCCGATGCGGGCTCGAAAAGTTCTTGGACAGTGAGGACAGGGAATGAGCGTTGTGCCAAAATATATGAGGTGGTGATGAAGATGAAAGAGTGACTTGCGCGGTGACTTGGAATAAAGTGAGGAAGAATTGCGCAGTGTCGTCGACCTCACTCTCTTGCCTAAGTCATATCTGGGTCCAGTGGCAAGACAGAGTCAGAACGACTGGAGATATGTCTAGGTGCAGTGGATGACCAGGGCGTTGTACGTGCCTCGCCATGCTCTATGCGCTCCACAGCGCTTTGCTAGTGTCGCCGTCTTGCCCGTTGAACCGACTATGGCAGAATGCGCGGAGGAATGAATATGTAAAGGACGGAGGATGACTCACGAGGAAGAACATCCGGAAAAGGATACAAGAAACAAGGCAGGACACAGACAGGAAGGAGCTGTCTAGCTACTATGATACGGACATACAGCCTGAGAGCTGGCTCACATATCACAATTAAATGTTAAATGTTGAATTTAGATTCGACATCATAGCGCTTGGGACACTTCCATAAGCTCCCAGTCGCCATTTTCAGCAGCAAACAAAGAGTTCTAATTCCGATACACCAATAACTGTCTGATTGTGTATCCGTCTCGCCTTTAACTTAAGTGTTGATCATCGACCAGATCCCCTGGTAACCCCTCGCAACGCCATTCTCCTCAGACCATAACAAATATGAATAAATAATATTTGCGCTTCCGCACTGTTCACTCGCTCCCAGAGGGCCCTCACAACACCTAGCTTGTCATACATCAGTTAACCACCAAGTGGTGCAGAACTGACCAGTCTATCTTCCTGCTCATTTTCGAACACACCGGCAGAGCTTGAAGAGAATATCTAAAGGATGTTAACTACCTGGGACCTCTTGAGTGATGCCTGCCACTATGCATGGAGCATACATGTCTTCACCTTTGTCTTCATGCTTTGAAAGTCAGTTGCAATCACGGCATGTGTGTACAGCTGATTCTTTAGCCAGCGTAATGCAGCAGTGACTAATCAAAAAAGTCGGGAGTTATGAACCAGTGTCATTGCTCATGGTTATAAACCATAAGTGCTCTGCCACCAGTACGGACAGCTGATAAGAAACTGTCTAAACAGTGACTGCCTTAACCTCCATTCTCAAACTAGCTGTTGTGAGATCATATGCTAGGCTTTGTTGCACTAAGCGACGTCCATTCGCTTTTGCTATGAACCCCCACGTCTGCCCCTCAACACAAAGCCATCTGTATAGATAATCACATCACTTGAGCTGGAATTGGACACTTTGACCCACTCCTCAGCTCGCACAAATTTATCAAGCTCGAACACAGGTCTCATTGTGTCTTCAGCTTGCGGTATCCAAGACCTTCCTCTTTTTAGTTTGCGGCCCTTATCTCTGACAGGGCTTCATGCAGGAGATGTTTCTTATCTGCATCTACTCTGAGATATCAAAATTTTCTCTACGCAAGTAACGCAAAATAAATCAGACGATAAATATAACCGGAGACTGTTGGCAGCTCGATGCCAAAAGCAGGTGGAACATGGTGGAAGAATGTATCCTCTAGCTGTTATAAGACTGTCTATGATTTGCACACCTATGTTGACAAAGGATTAGGTTCACCACACGCCAGCACATATGAATTCATTCTTGTAGTCTATACATAATGCTCACAGAGCCATATCCCAAAACTGTCGGTTTCTTTTTCTCCTCTCTTTTCTTCTAGTTCGGTTTTGTATTCTCAGGTCAACTCGTCAGGTGGGTTGCCTCTATGAACTTGCCTGTCAGCAGCAGGTCCTTTATGATTCCACCCAGACATCCAAACATAACTAAGAGTGCAGAGAGACAGACCACAAACCTGCTAATTTTTTCAACATTAAGCTACCAGTGCCAAACATGTACACTGTCTCTTGCCCTTGTAGGCCAAATGATCACGTCTGAGAAGAGATAACCTGAAAAAAGACGTCATCCTTATCATCACAGATTGTAGGAACAACATCTTGTACCTTGTTCATCGAGAAACAGCAGATCAAGTTGTTTGGCTATCTCGTTAGAAAGCAGCAAGATCAAATACCATTGCAAGCACTACATCTCAGAAGATGAGTTAAAAGATAAAGAGGACGGCCTCGAAAAATTGGATCGACAACATCAAAATCTACGCCTTCACGGCATGACAATAGCCAGTGCCAGCCAGCGAACACTGGATCACAAATTATCTCTCCCCACGTCACATAACGGCAGAACTGGTGTATGATGATAACGATGATATTTTTTATAAACACTTTTCACGGTGTTTCTGACATGTAATATCGTTCACTGATACTGACTGATTCTATTTGTCGACAGCCTTACTGTGAATGTTCGATTCATTGCACTTTTCAAAAAACTTCCTCGGAATGTTTGATTGTTACCTCAAGTGCTTTTCCTGCTAAATTGATTGATGACAATTTGAGTTGTCACGTACAAATAGAACAAGGATAGTTAAAGTAGGGCAGCTGTTGCTGTTGTCAATGAGAATTAGAAGAGGGTAATTAGGTCGTTTGATTCAGGGCAGTGTTTATTTCAAGGTAAAACAGTCTACAAAAGGAGACAAGCATTTGAAGTAACGATTGCTTAAAATTGAACATAAGGGCTAAATTAAGGGACCGTTCTTTCCAGTGTGGGGCATACTGAGTATATTGAGAAAGGTCCATGTGATTTGATCCATCGACACTGAATGGGTGTTGTCGGTAATATCACAGCAGTCACCCTTACTTTCCAATATTCGAGGGGGCTTCAAATGAACCTCTCCAAAGTGTAGAAGAATTTAAAATAACCATATTATCATCTTGTAGTGTGTTAATATTGTTGTTAATTAAGGATGTCAAGAGTGTTAGGCATGTGAAATCTCCGTACAGATGAAGACAGTGACCTTATAATAACAGGTTTAAGATGGCTACCCCACTTTTGACATGTACCAAATAGGGGGTGGGTGTATATATATATATATATATATATATATATATATATATATATATATATATATATATATATATATATATATATATATATATATATATATAAAGTAAAGATCATTTTTCTCTCGCCTTAGGCGCATCGGGTATATGAGACGAGCGTCCCATTTTTTTACAGACCAATCGGCACTGGATGGGTAATGTGGTCAGCATAACGCCGGCCGTCTTTACTTTCCCAGGACAGCTATCCTGGTACCCATTTTAGGCTGGGTCGAC